GAAGGAGGCGAGAAGGGAACCAATTCTGAACAAAAGGAGTAGTAGGAAGGATCGACCCGGTTGAAAGCGCTGTGGCACTACCCCCGCTCACCTTCTTGTCAACCCCTTCTCGTATATACCGTCGTGCTCTCACTGACGGCCACAGGGAGGATACATCCTGGAGCAGCTGAACTGGATGGGCATGGTGCAGATCGTCGAGATCCGGCAGCGAGGGTTCAGCGTCCGCTACCCGCATAACGAGTTCGTGTGCAAGTACGGCCGCATCGTGGGCAGGGGGCCCGGCGAACCGGACTTCCAGGGTCCCGTGGAGGGGGAGAACCAGGCGCCCGCCGCGTGGCGCGACGAGGCTGAAAGGGTGCGTTTTTGCCAAGTATCGACTACTCGGGGGGGGGGGGACTCATAGTCGTGCATGCCGTAGTCGGTGAGCCATAGACCTCGTATCCCTGTAAAGCCGGGACGGAGCACGCTGGGTTCTCACCAGCCCCGGCTCTCGGGGCGGGGCGGGCGGGGGCGGTGTATTCAAGTAACCGCATGCTGTATTATAGTCGGGAACCCGCAGACCTCGCATCCCTACCGGGAGCAACATCCGGGGTTTTCGCCGGCCAAGGCTATGGTACGTTCCACAAAGATGAACCAGAAACCGGTCATCATGCTTGCGTTTGCGGTGCCAAACCAAATATGATTAGGTATCGTGGGAGAGATCGTGATTGCGATAACTCGTGCGATGGGGGGTACGGGGGTCGTCTCGTGTGCGACGAATGGAAAAGGCTTGGTTTCGGTTGGCAGGGGAAGGGGAGTGTTTTTCATTGTCGTGTTTTGACCTATGATACTGCTACCGGTCACACGCTTGCGATGTATTTTTATTCTTAACCACCTTCTGCTACCGGCTATACTTAACGCGTGCGTTTTTTTTTTTAAGGAAATATGCTTGTAGTAGAATAACGACGACCCGTTCGAGATAAAGCCACTGTTGTTGTTGTTGTTGTTGTTGTTGTTGTTGTTGTTGTTGTTATTGTGTTCAGATATCGGCGGAGCTGGTGCACCAGGGTCACATGGAGGCTGGCAAGTTCCACCTCGGCACGACGAAGATCTTCCTCAGGACGGCCACACAGAGGACCCTCGACGCCGCGCGAGAAGAGCATGTGAGTCACATACGGGGGGGGGGGGGG